GCACTGTACATTCACTCCCCCCACCTACAATCCCTGCCGGTACGAGACTCGAACCCACAACCTTTGGGTTACGAGTCCGACTCTCTAACCATTAGGCCACGACTTCCGATGTATGGAAGTATATCACAGCTATGTTCTGTTTTCACAGATTATGATAGATGTGGATGACAGGAATGATTGGAAAGAATGCATTGATATCGGAGGTGTCCGCCTCCCTACAGGATACTATTTTGGGGCTTCTGCGGCCACAGGAGATCTTTCTGGTAAGTGCTACTAATAAATCTCCCCTAGATGGCCACAATAGTCCTCCTGATGCCTTTTGCCAGACCTCACTGATACTGTTTGCTCTGTGCAGATCATCATGACATCATCTCTATGAAGATGTACCAGCTGATGGTGGAACACACTTCTGAGGAGGACAACCAGGACTGGACGAAGATCGAGCCTAGTGTCAGTCTCCTCAAGTCGCCGAAAGGTAACACAGCTGACGTTACAGACATATTCATCTGTTGGCAGGAGGATTTTTCATTCAATTGCTTGTCATGTTCACATCTTCTCCCACAAAAAAGACAATATTGATGATCCGACGGGAAATTTCCGAAGCACGCCCCTCACTGGCTGGAAGGTGTTTCTGCTTCTGCTGTGCGCTCTGCTGGGAATCGTGGTTTGTGCCGTTGTTGGTGCCGTGGTCTTTCAGAAGCGTCAAGAGAGGAACAAGAGGTTCTACTAAACAACAGGATTTCAAAGAACTCTGGCGATTGTAGGTGAAAGAACATTAATGTGAATTTTGAGCGGCTGTATACATGTGGATGTTATTGAACTGCTCGACTGGAAGGAATGCTGGTTTGAGTCTAAAGAGTGGGATTTGTGGCTTCAATGAAACGATTCTTTATGTTGATCTTTCTGATTTGGGTCTGCTGAAGTAAATTATGCATTTTCAATGCGGTCTACAGTAGTACATAATTTCTGTGTGTACCCTTTATACACTTGATTTAGCTTCATTCTCTAAATCCTTGGTGGTTTTATTTTTTTATTGTTTTAACCCTTTATCTGTGTTTCTTTTCCATCTACACATTGTTTCGTTCTGCTCTGGAGTGCTGATTTTTGTTTTTTTGTTTTTTGTTTTTTTACAAACTATGATTTACTTAAGAGGATTTTTAATCCACTGATGAAAGGTATCCTCTAAAATTGATCAAATCAATGTAAATATTTGAAGTTATTGCCCTTCTCTCTACAGGATCATGTTTGAGCCTTGTTTTTTAAACCATGGGAGTTTTGAAAATATTGAACCAAAAAAGATCGGTTATTTTATTACTGCAGGGTAACAAGAGTTCATTCAGCCTTTTGTGAGTTTAGTTGGGTTATTTTTTTACATCTTTCAAATTTTTTGCTCCTCAATTTGAAGTTATCGCTATGCACTGATTAACAGTTGTTTCTGAAAGACGTTCACGTTGAATGTAAAATGATGCTTTTGGTGAGAAAATAAAGCAGTTATAACAGTTTACTTGTTAAATATTTGTTTTCATTTTTTTGTTTGTTTTTAATAGTTTAACCTTTTTTTTTTATTATTATTTTGCACTTATTTATTAGGACCCAATTTGCATATTAAACAACTAGCGTTCAAAAATAATGAATAATTCCAGGACCAAAGTAATTATTTGTCCTGAAAAATATTTTAGTGTAATAAAAAAGTGTCAATAACAAGGTTTTTGGACAACAGGTGGATATTCGGGACGGGTACAAATTCGAATAGTTTTGTCACTGTCTGCAGCTGCACATTGTGAAGCAGCATCAAGATGTTGTATGTTTATCTCAAGAAACTTCAGAATTTTGTCCCCAAACATACTTTTGTGAGTAGAAATGTGAAACTATTTAAACATCTTGCACCCAAGCGAAAAAATCTTCAGCTGTAAAAAAAAAAACCGTGGCCTATATGGGTTGTATCATTCATAACTTATTTATACAAGATTGTATTTAATTATTTATTTTATTTTATTTAATTAAGTACTTCTACGGAATTGCAAATGAATAATAAATTAATTTGTTGCATGTAGTCAAAGTTTGAATTTTCAACTAAATATAGCATATAGTAATAAAAGAGGAAAAACATTACCATAACAAGCCAAGTGTGTTAAGCAGTGAATAATATTTCACTTTTTGTCAACATTATTAGTCTTTATTATTAACATCATAGACCACAGCAGATCTAACAGGCTACATTCACATTAATGAAGAAATATTTTTTGACATCGGACAAAACTGATCTTTTTTTTTTTTTTTTTTTAAGTATTCTGGACAATGAGCGAATGAGTATCAAAAGTTGCGCACACACAAAGTTTTGCACTATTTATTTATCATCTCTCTTTATTTTGCACAAGGTATAGGTATATGTACAGTGGTGACTAATCACCATGTAGGTAAATTGAAGAATCACCCCTTTCTTCTTTATTGCCTATATATGGTAATTAGATTCACCGTTTTGGACTTGGCAGGACTTGTCATTGATAGGCTCCGTCCTGTCTTTTTTTCATGATAGAAAGTGCCATGTTAGAGCCATACAGTTGTCCTATAGGCCCTTAATAAAGCTCTCAGTGCATGCTAGAGTCAACAGACTGATGCCAAGCAAGGTATCTGGACTGCTCATTACTGTTTTGAAATAACTTTTCACAGTATTTTCCAGCCTTCTTCCCCATGACTGCTCAATGGATTCAGTCCAGTCTATTACTTGCCTGTCACTGGAGCTGCTTTCATTGTGCCTTGCCAGGACCTTAATAGTCATGTCTTGGCCCCACATGATAAACATCGGTTTGCCCATGAGCTCCGAAAAATTCAGAGCCGCTAGGGCATTTTCTGCATCATGGTGGTGTTCAAAGTTCACAAAACCATAGCCATGAGAGTGGTTGATAGTACTTCTGTCTCTGCACACTTGTGCAGTACAGATGTGGCTGAATGGGAGGAATATTGCATGCAGCTCTTGTTCAGTCACGTCTGAGTGCAAATTACTCGCAAGCAATGACCTTGGTTCATCAGAGCTGCTCTCCCTGGGCTCAGTCTGCTCTTTGTCTTTAGGTTCGCCGTTCCCGTCACAGGCCTCTGTGCACGGCAGGACTTCCCCAAAGTCTGAGAGGGTATTATATATGGCAAACCTATCTTTGTGTCTTGCCAGGACCTTAACAGTCATGTACTGGGCCCATGAGCTCCAAAAAATTCAGAGCCACTAGGGCATTTTCTGCATCATGGCGCTGTTCAAAAGTCACAAAACCATTGCCACGAGACCGGTCCGTTCTTCCACCTCTGCACACTTTAACAGAACGGATGGGTCCGAATGGCTGGAATACTGTATGCAGTACTTGCCCAGTCACATCTGGGTGCAAATCATTGACGAGCAATGACCCCTGCATTTTGGTTGACCATTATCCTCATCTGAAGACCAATTGTAGGAAGTTGCTATTTTGATTGTCCGTCAAGACTTTTTTCAAAAAAAGCTATTAGTATAAAGCACAAATACTGTGGAGATGCTTCAGTCAGATCAATCAGTCAAGTAAATGATATAAAGTGTTCCTGTGGCTCAGTGGTAGAGCATTGCGTTAGCAGCACAAAGGTCGTGGATTCAATTCCCAGGGAACACACATGCTGATAAAAAATGTATAGCCTGAATGCACTGTAAGTCGCTTTAGCGTCTGCTAAATGCATTAATTTAATTTAATTTAAAATGACTGTTTTGATGCTTTTAAAGCCTCTGAACGTTCTAAAATTCTAATGACTGTGACGTCACAGATCACGTGACTTTCTGGACTGCCTGTGTGACGTCATAACGCGCGCCGCCAATGTTCCACCCACTGATCTATAATAGAGAAATATATATTAGTCATATATAGATCAGTGGTTCCACCGCATTCTAATGAATCAATAGAAAATCATCTCATTTTAATGAGAAAGCATTAACGAGTCAATGATTTTACATCTAAGGCACCTCTGTACAATGCTATACAATGCAGACGTCCTTGTAAAATGTTATTTATTTAAAATTAGGAATTAAAGTTATTAAAAGTTTCATTACAATAGCGAACTGTAAATCCTAAATTTTGAATTTTCATACAATAAATATAGTGCAGTATAGTGCCAGCTTGTATTGTAATGTTTATATTCGAATTTCTGCTTTAGTCCCATGCATATGTCTGATATGTGAAGCAATCATCAGTGTGCAATAGATTCACACGTTTAGCCTATATCGCTTTTCCTGCCTGAAAATATAAATTAATTTACAATTTAGTTTAATTCGATATAATATAGTCATTATTTTTCCAAAGTCCCTGATCTTTTTGAAAATTATAGATTTGTATGACTTTGTTCATCCAGTAGTAGCCTAATGAAAATACCTATCTTTTACAGTTGTACCTCCTGACTTACAGCCGAAAAATGCGACAACATAAAGTAGGAAAATTAAATAAATCAGATTAATTCTTGAACTCTTTGTGGAGAGTAATCGCACGTAGGCTACCCCAGATAGCACACGTTCCTCTGCAAGATGTCTGTTAAAGATCTCTTCATCTGGAAAGCATCTGCTGTGTACAAACATCTGACAGACGTCTTTAAGATGTCAGTTTTACATGCATTCTAAATCATAAACATCTTAAAGACATCTTCTAAACGTCTATTTGACATCTGATAGGAAACGTCCTATAGACGTATTTCAGATGAGCAAATACTCTAAAAAAATACATCTTGCAGATGCAGACTCTATGTAGGCCTACGTGTGCTATCAGGGGCTAAATCCCTTGTTAAGTCGTAAGGTATCACACCGTTCAATAACACACTCTAACGTTTTATGAAGAATGTGAACTCAAAGATAATGCTCATTTTACGGGTATGTTCGGATGGCGGGGGCATTAACGGTGTAGACAGGGCCATTGAACTAAAATCCTTTTCAAAGTTTCAAAAGATTCGATTCACTCAGTTGAAAACTACACTGACCACGAGCAACCTCGGGAAAACGCTTTCCGCTTGGGATTGGACGGTGGCCGACGATGGGTTACGTGGCATTGGAGTGGCTGCGCATGCGCAGTGCGCGTTTCACCGGCAGTGTCAAGATGGTGGCAATCAGAATGCAGTTTACACTTTATTTGGTGTTGTTGTTAAACATTTACAGCAGTTTTGTGTCTGCGTTGTATTTTCATATCGGCGAGACTGAAAAGAAATGCTTCATAGAAGAAATACCGGACGAAACCATGATAATAGGTAAGTAGGAGAAACAGAATAAGCCAACCTTGCAGTGCACGTTAATGCTTAGCCTAGTGCTAACTAGCAGGTTTGTCAGGTAGAGTTCACTCGTTGGCAACCAGCTTGACTTCAAAATAAGTTACAAACGAGCTTTTTCTAGGCTTTCCCATGACTTAGACAAATTAACATTTGAATAGACATTTACAGGCATACTGGACTGAGAAAGCAGCAGTATTAACTAATACGCTTTTCTTAAACATTGAATGAAGTGCTTAAGGTAACACCATAGTGATCCATCCTGCTGGACTTTGTCTAAGTTAGCTGAAGAGGTGAATTATGAGACAAGAACCTGATGTTGAAATATCCTGAATACTCAAGTGACATTACATAGTGCAACACCAAGTGAATATGACATAACTCCTCACTCTAAGATTGTATTGTTGTCAGTGGATTATTATGAAAATAATGAAGTGACTTCAGTTTCTTTCCTTACAACTTTGTGATTTTGTCTTAACCAGGTAACTACCGAACGCAGCTCTACGACAAGCAGAAAGAAGAGTATTTGCCTGCAACTCAAGGACTTGGGATGTTTGTGGAAGTGAAAGATCCTGATGAGAAGGTCTGTTTGATTAAAGGTTTTGTGAATAATAAAAGTCCAGTATGTTTGCATTTTATCATGTTCTCATCTTTTTTTGGGGGGGGTTTCAGGTGATCCTGTCCCGCCAGTATGGATCTGAGGGCAGGTTTATCTTCACCTCTCACACACCTGGAGAGCATCAAATCTGCTTGCACTCAAATTCCTCCAAATTTGCTCTGTTTGCTGGTGGGATGCTTGTGAGTTTATATTGTGCACCGCTTCTTCTAGTCTACTTCAACTATATTATAAATATGCTGTTGAGAAGTAAAATATTGCAGAGTACTCAATGCAAACATGTTCCACACAAATGGACAAAAAATTGTTGTGAGGAGCTAAATGTGTTAATGCATAAAACTTCTTGAATAATTTCAATTATATATATACACACGCACACATATACATACATACACAGAAAATGTATTAAATGCAAGGAAAGTGTCTACTTTAATGTTTCAAATAATTTTTGTGAAAACAAAGTATGGGTGAAATAATGTTCCATTATCATGCAGCATAATATATATTTATGTAAAAATAAAACAACATACTTATTCTGACCTGTACTTATTAAAATATATAGATTATTACATTTTAATTTATTAAAAACTCTCGGATAAATGGGTAAAACCTAGTGTTTTGAAGGATAGTGGCAAAGATTGGTAAAGATTTAAAATGACAATGAATTAGTTTGGCTGCATCGTGATCGTTAAGTAGAGTCTTTTAATGTCATCTAATGATTCTTGCTCTAAATATGCCTGACAATTTTATTTAGAGCATTATAGTGGGTGTCTGGTGTAAATCATGGTAAAAATGTATGATAGTCATTATTTTTTGCTCAGAAAAAATATTAAACCGGTCACATTCTAATGTATGAAAAATGTAAAGCTTTATTAAACTTTTATTTTATATATATATATAATTTTTCCTATATTTATGGTGAAGAGCACAGTCTGATATTCACTGGCTACCTATTCAGACAGCTTTCGCTTTTGAATTTTAATATAGCGTGTTCACTTGGACATCCAAGTTGGTGAGCATACAAACAACTATGCAGAAATCGCTGCCAAAGACAAGCTGACGGAGTTGCAGCTGAGGGTACGACAGCTGATGGAGCAGGTGGATCAGGTCCAGAAAGAGCAGAACTATCAGAGGGTAAGTGTCCTACAGGTTTGAGAGTTGAGATCCGGCTTATTCAGCACCAGTGACAGAACATGGTGTTTTCTGTCATCCTTGCACAAGAGTGATCCCAATCTGAATCGTTTTCTTCTTCCAGTATCGTGAGGAGCGCTTCAGACAGACCAGCGAGAGCACCAATCAGAGGGTCCTGTGGTGGTCTATCGTCCAGACGCTGATCCTGGTGGCCATTGGGTTTTGGCAAATGAGACATCTGAAGAGCTTCTTTGAGGCCAAGAAATTAGTATAGAACTGTATTTGGATTTGTTTTTTTAAGTTGTGATTGTACAGTACACACAGCATTTTGAAGATTGCCTGCTTCATGTGTGGTCAAGACTGCTGAAAAGTCAACATGCTCTCAGTTCAGTTCCCTCCCTGAATTCCCATTTTTATCCTGCATTGACGTTTGTTTTACGCTGCTCGTTTCAGTGCCACACCCCATGTAATGTGAACCTGGTTTCTGTTCAGAAATGCATTACAGTGTGTTACTGTTTGGAGGTGATAGGCACTCAACAAAAGCAGTTTACTGGATTCAAAATGCAAATTGCATAGTGGTTGCCTTACCATTTTTTATAGCCCCATAACTTGATAAAATAATATTTGACATTTGTTTCAGAAAGCTGATGACGACATTAACTATTAAACTGGGCTGCAAGTGTGATTTTTTTATTTTTTATTATTTGCTTAAACATTTACAAAACAAAGATTATCCTGGTGGCAGGTGTAAATGTATTCTGTTGTTTGGTTATGCAGTAATTAGTATGATATTTAAAGTTTTGCTCAGAGTGAATGTTGCTTGGTGTTTACATTTTTATTCTTTATACAGTTGGTTAATGTTTTCTCTTCTATACCCCAATTGTATTTTGTGTTGAGCATCATTGCGGTCAAGAACACTCGGATCATGTTAGTATTAGGCCTTCTTCCCTTTTGATAGCTACAGTTTGATGTTGACCTCAGTGAATAAATGTGTACATGTTTAAAACGTATATATCCAAATAAATGGCAAAATGTAGTTATCAAAAGGTAAAATGTTTAATTATGAGTACTTGGCACATTGAAATAAATAATATCAAAAGGTTTTATATTTTTCGTGAATGCTTAAATCCCCATTTCTCTGACAGATTTGCTTAGTTTCCTTTGAAAACGGTATTGACGTCTTACACATACATTATCATATTTTCACATCTTTTTTCCTATTGTAAACTCCTCAGGTTGATGTAGAGATTTCGGTGGTTTATTCACTCTTAAATTGATCTGCCCAGAATACACTGTAAATCTAAAAAGGTACCATGCCTTTATAGCTGTGTCATAATGTTGTATTTTCTTCAAAAAATAAGACCGCATGTTGTTTTGAGTATTTTGATAGATTATTGCTCATTGAATTGCTTTGCCATCATATTTGTATGGTTTCTTTTTTTTTGTTAATAATTATTTTATTTTTTGTCATTTTAGTTTATATGCAGCCACTGGGAAATGGGTTTACTTTTTATGTAGGGATACGGGAGGGAAAGATTTGTTGGTGAGAAATCTACCCCATAATTGCACTCAGAAATAAAGTTTTCCACTTTCCCCAACGTTGGCTTAGTTGTCTACATAATTGTTTGGGTAACATGGCTTCTACAAGTAATTTGAGGAATGAATTTACTAGAGGAGTGTTACACACCATGGCCATATTGACTAATGATATGAAACACTTCTGTTGCCAGTCATCATACAGTACATTACAAACATCTATTTAGGCTAAATTAACTGACACCGTTTTCATTATATCCTGTAGAGGATATTATATTTGAGTGAATTTCTCTGAGACCACAGTTTGAAGTCTGGATGTCCTGTATGAGCACATTCATGGCTTTTTATGGATATCAAATATTTGGAGGTTTGGTCTTTAAATATGACTGATATTGACAGAATGATCAAATTTAGCACTCTAAAAAATGCTGGGTTAAATACAACCCAGCGCTGGGTAAAATAGGGACAAACCCTGATAATGTTTTGTAATTATCATTTAAATCTGGCTAATTTAATAAAAATTGTTTGTCGTAAATAAACATCTCAGAAAAATGTTATGGGGCTTCAGATCGGAATATGACATTTTATTACGAAACGGTATAATTGTCATCAATGTCTTCTGTAGAGGACACCAGGACAAACATCATGTTAATCAGGCATTTTGGGGAATCACAAGTCAATATGAAAGAAATTATAGATCAATATTCCTATGAAATATGAGATATTCTTATGAAAATGCTGCCAAGTTATTACTCCCTTTTGCTTATGGTTTGCCCCAAGAACACATTATTATGCAAATGAGATGCATTGTAGCCTATATACATTGTATAGAATGGGAATACCAATTTATGGATATTTTACGCACATATTACATAGAGTAAAACAGTATATCAAATCATTCTGTTATATCTTTCATAACTTAGTTGAGAATCATCTTTGTACAAAGTTTGGCTAAAAATAGCCTGAAACCTAAAAACTGATTGGTGAATGAAAAAATGTCTATCATGTCTATTTATTTTTCGAATAACTTAGTCTTGGCGTCCTCTACAAAGGAGATAGAATAACATATCTTTTTTAGAAAATGTTATTTTTTTCTCCATTTGTTTCTTATGCTCCAATCTATATTTAATGAAATAAAAAATAAAAAATCACAAAGTTTTTTTTTCTGGTTCTCAGGAGGATATAGTTAGGCATAAAGATATAGTTTAAACTATTCAGAACTTTAAAAATAAATGTAATTGGAGGTAAGATATTTATTTTACTAGACTGCCTATGCGTGTTATAGCTAGCAGCGACCGATTCGTGAATCAAATCTTTCTTTGGGTCGGATCTTTTCAGTGAATCGGTTGAACCGTTTCACCTAGCTGGTCTAAACTGTTCTGCAAATGTTATTTAAACCTGCAAAAACGTTTTTATTCCGCTAATGAAGGTAAATATTTTTTTAAATACAAAGTTTATTTAGGTTCTAAATAAATATTTAGGAGCTAATTGAAGATTGCAACAAACTTAAAACGCGTGGAACTAAATTTAACGCTTTATTTGCGTAATAAACTGTGCTTTGTGCCTACTATGAAGCTTTAATGGAGCGTGCAGTGTTCTATGGGAATTTGGAAAGTCGGTGACCATGCGATAGCGTGAAACAGTCATTGAATCATTTTAACCGGTTCAATAAAATAAACTGTTCGAAAGAACCGATTCGTGGAAAAGAGTCGAACTGCCCATCACAATTGCTCGTTAGTGCAGTCATATTTGTAAATGTATTGTCTCGTTGCACATTTACCACTACCCTTTGGTTACCTTCGCTTTATGCATATAACTGTATTAATATATTTCTGATCATGTCTCTAAATGAATTGTACCGGTAAGGTCAGAAAATCCTAGGAACTTTATTCCTACGTTGTTTCCAGAGGAGTATTTCAAAGACGGACGATTGCAGCCGAAATTCTGAACTCACGAAATTCTATAATCATACATAACAAGCATGAAATATGTTTATGACTGTGCTTTACGGTTGACGGAGCGATTGGCAGTGAAAGAGCTCGTTCAAGCCGGCCGCTAGGAAGAATGGGATTTAAAGTTGCAAGTCATTTGTGATGGAAAGAGACAAAAGACACTGTTGCAAACTAGAAATGTGATTTGAACATCGTCTCGAGCTCAAGGCTGCATCAGTGAAGTGCTACAGTGTTGCACAGAAAGGCAAGATGATGTACTCTTCACGGAGAAAACCTGTGCTGTATTTCAAAGATGATGGAAGGTATACGCTTTAATCATAACATGCATATGAACACGTGACCACTCTGATGCGTGTTTTATCTCAATATAATCTCATTCCTATAGCTGAATTATTGTAATCATTTGCAAGTGGTGGTCTGTGGGTTTGTAAAAGCTTCTGTGTGAATGAGGAAAAGCGGTTCAGTGAGTATATGATGGCATGTGAAGAGTTTTAACCCTGAAAAGCCTGACATAAGAAATAATCTTTTTTTTAATTAATTTTTTTAACCTGTTAACTGTCACTGGCCCACATGTTTGTAACAGTAATATCTTAGTCTAAACCTAAAGTAATCTTGACAAACTATATATAGTTTGAAAGCTTAAAGACTCATATTTGGTGACATATTTTAAATATATTTTACAGAGCAACAGCAATTTATTAATTAGAGCCAGAGAACGAGTTCTGACCTTTATTTTGAAATAGTGATGCACATGTAAAATCATGAAAAATCAGTAAATACCTCCATTCATTTTCGTGTCAAGTGTTAAAAAGATAACATCCATTATATTTTTTGAGAAAAAACGTCTAAAAGTGTTTTGAATATAAATAAAAACAATAGATTTTAAATGTTTGGTGCAGCTTGAACTATAACGCACATCCAGGGTTCTCGTCGCATGTTTTTATGTGTTTGTTAGAGGTTGAATTCAAATCAAATACTGCCATACTTGCCCATAACACAGTATGGTTATGGAATGTGATGTCTACTTCATAAATGTTGTGAAAAGTGAAAAAAACATGTTTCAGATCACTCAGACCATATATGGAATTGGGGATGCCCTTGTATGGTTACTAACGGGGTTTGATGGTCATCTAGTGGAAAGGTTTGGTACTGCGCCCAAACAAAATCTTACTGAAAGCTCATTTTTTGATATATCAACCCTCAAATTTGGAACACAACTTGTTCAGATTTTTTGGTTTTGATTTTCTCGCAGTTTTAGAGTTCAACATGTTTTGTCAAATATATATTTTATATAAAACATGAATATTTTAATATTTTATATTTTCATAAACTTAAACTTCCATAAGTTTTTTTTATAACATTTTTCACTCTACAATAATCTGGCAAGTGTCTTCTTTAAAAAGAGATCAACCTTAAGTCTGTGCTCCAAAGCATTGAAAATGTATAACAATTTAAGTTGGAAATATCATTTTCAGGTCTGTGCTCAAAAAGTGGAGCCGACAGCTTAATTGTGACGTGACGTGCGGTTGACCTGTTTGTTGAACCTTTAGACAAAATATAAGAGACAATCTTAAATGTTTGTATATTTTTGATGCATCACAGGCTTTTATGGCTCACATAGTATGATTTAATGTGAATGTGGAGCTCAAACATGAGGTGCAAAAAAAACAGAAGTTTTATTCAGAAACCCAAAATTAGCACAAACAAAAATGCAGTTTTGTGCAGCTGTTATTTATATGGCCAAAAAGTAGGATGAAATTCTGATAGCTTGTAATGTAAATCATTTCGATCATTATAACAGTAAATCAGACTACTTGCATAAAATTAATATAAATATCAGTTGTCCCTCTGTATCTCCTAGTATGTCTCATTAAGATTATATTTAAATGCTTTGTTTTTTCTATCAAAGCTCTATAGTATTTATTTTTATTTTATTTTTCTAAAAAATGTGGCATGGATAATCAAGTAAACCTGAGTTGCATCAGTCCAGTAGAAATCAGAAATTTCTGTTCATCTTGAAATATTACTAACAATAGGCCTATATGTTATTCTTACGTTTACCTCATAAAAAAAAATCAGTAAAGATTTCACAGCAAAAAGACATGTGCACCATGACTTGAAGGGGGACATTTTTACAATTACACCCAAAGGCCTTTTACTTGCAAAAAAATGTATAAACAATCAATCGGTTGACAGAAAGATTGTAGTACATTGTGTACAACAGGTTTTTAAGGAAAGTTTTAATCATGTTGGTACTTTAGAGGCCTTAGAATATGTATCAAATATGATACCGTAGGCTTCATAGGGTTAAGTCTGATTGAGCAAGACCAGTTGTATACAATGCATGAGGTCCTTGAGGACCAGTTTGTAAACCAATGTGGCTAATGCTTGCTGTTGTATAGTGTAAGTTGCTTATACTAATTAATTTTGATTGACTGGCTCACTAAAAGCTTAAACTCTAAAAATCGTATTGTAACCTTTCTCATAATGTACTTCAAAGACCCTGAGAAATCATAACTAGAGATTTATTTAGGCCATGTCTTTTAGCAGACACACACATTTCAAATTGACAGTATTTCTCGTCTGAGAAAACTAACCAAAATTATTGATGACTCATCTTGCACTCATTCATTTTGTCCAATCAGATGCTCTCTAGAATATGAATGTCCCTCCCACTAGTACTGTTTAAAGGTACAGTCACATTAGTGAAATTTGGGCGGAATTTCATGGGGCAAGGTATGAAGCACAGCTTACACAAAAACAAGTAACTTTCTATTGGTCAATGTGGCAAATTTCCATAATCAAACCGTTGTGAAATCTGCATAGGGAAATATTTCAGCCTCTGGAACTGCATCCACATAACAATAAGCGTTGACCACTGAATTTTTGTCTGTAGGGACTGTTGTTGTCCATTTATTCAGTGCTTGAAAGAAGTTCTGTCAAGTTTACTCAAATGTATTTATGCTTTCAGTTTTCTGTCGAGGAAATGCACTGTCTGGAAGCTCTTCGGGCTCTGCATGCTGTTTGTCTTGGGGTCCCTTCTTTGGGTGCAGCTGACTTGTTCAGGAGACATGAGCCAGACATTTGGGTACAGTCACCTCCCTCACCAG